TTTTTTTTTGCGTCCCTAACAGATATTCATGTAAGGGATAATAATTCATTTTAACCCCAGTTGCAGGTGCGGGGAAGGAAACCACTGCCCCACCTGTGATACTCCGAGATGGGCCCAAAACCACTGCCCAGTGCCCACCCAGGTACCTGCGACTAAGATCAATCCATGCTGTCACCCACCCGCACCCACCTACAGACTGTAGGTTCACACGGAATCATTGCCGGACATTTACGGACCTGCTTGCCGGTCCGGACCGTCCGGAACCGCACATGTCCGGAGGTCCGGATGTGTCGGAAGTCCGGACGTCCGGACCTGACCAGACATGCGTTCGGTCTCCGAACATGAGCTGTCCGGGTCCAGGTCCGGCATAGCCATGGTTCGAACTCAGTACCGGGCGCATGAGGTGCCATGGTAAATGGGATGTAACTGTAAGTAAACAGATTGTCAGTTCGAATCCTGATGCAAACATATACGTACTACACGTTAATGTCAGGCGCCATCCCCTCCAGAGAACAAAAAAAAAAGCTCACCCAGAAGAAAAAGGTGGTCCCCACAGGCAGGTACAATGAAGTAAAAAGTACTAAAACTAGTAAAAACCTAGGCTACCAGAGTGGCCCGGGGTCACTTGCCCGGCCGGGCCAAAAACAGTTAAAAAAAAAAAAAAAAAAAAAAAAAAACTTTTGTTTTCTAAATTGGTGCAGAATTTCGATGTGACCCTGAGGCAAAAGTTGTTCAGTTTATTTTTCTGCATAACATAGTTTGTTTTTCGGATTTTTTTTTTTTTTTTTTTTTTTTTTTTTTTTTTTTGCTGGGACCTTCCTTGGTCCTTGCACGGGCTGGCCACCTGGGACCCGGGCGGCCCGGCTGGTAGCCTAGGTAAGAACTCAAAAATGTGGTAAAAATTATGAAATGAAAAAAAAGAAAAAGCCTAAAAAAGGTGGTCCCCACGGGCAGGTACAATGAAGTAGAAAGTACTAAAAACTAGTAAAAAGTAGTAAAAACTATACAATGAAAAAAAAAAAAAAAAAGAGTAAGAGATAGGCGTACCTGAAGGATGAGAGAGCGTCAACTGAGAGCGGACCTACAGCTGCAGATTCTGCACCAGAATTAGAAAAAGACGAACCACACAAAACAAACCACGACGTCCGCGCGATGGCAGATGTGATTGGCCCTTCCACAACCTTATAAAGGATGCAGCAAGATTTGAATTTTGAGCTCATGATCACCAGCCAGGTACAAACTCTGTTACCTTCCAGACCACATGCACATCAGGACTTTCCTAGATGTACCTGACCGCAATCACGTCCAGAGGTCAGTCATACATATTTCAGCCACAAGCAGTCGTTGGCTGCTTCCACATATACCGGGCAGGTACAAACCATGGTAACCCTTGACCCGGACACCGGACACTTCCGGACTGTCTTCCGGACCAGTGTCTGG